GCATGTTGTTGAGGATGTGGAGGGCGTGGTTGCAGGCGAGGCTCCAGTACGATGCGTCGAGGCCTGCACCCGTGATCATGGCTCGCACCATGTCGGAGAGGGTGCGCACCTGTCGCTCGACGATGCCATTCTGCGCCTGGGTGTACGGCGGGGACTGCTGGTGCTGCTTCAGGTGCTTCTTGACGATGGCCTGGAAGTCAGCTCCGAGGAAGATGGCATCGGAATCCGTCTGGAGTGCTGTTGTTGTGGGTGAGATGGGGAGCTTGGTCTCGCGCAGGAAAGACTGGAACGCGGCAACTGCGTCCTTCTTGGCATTGAGATGGACTGCATGCAGGAGCTTGCTGCCCTCATCGACGATGACGAGGCTGTAGCGCTTGCCCGTGGGTGAGTCCGCGGTCCAGTCGACGATGTCGGCGTGGATGCGCTCGCCGGGCACCTGTGTGCGCTCCGCGTGCTTGCTGACGCTGTGACGAGTGCTCTTGGTGACTGCGCACGTTGTACACTGCTTGCTGCTGATGGCGTTGCGATCGTCGATGCCCATCAGCTTGCAGTACTGCTGCACGTCGTTGTCGTTGCGGTGGCCAAGCACCTCATGCATCGATGGTGTGTGCGCCTTGCTCTGGGCTGCAGGAGCTGCTGCGGGTTGCTGTGGTTGCTTGCAGGCATCGGCGGTGAGACCGTGTGCCGTGGATGGACCAACAGCAACAATGGGCCAGCACCGGAGGCTGTTGCGCTCCTTCAGCTTGACCTCGGCTCCGTGGCTGAAGCGCACGTAGTGCCCATCAGCGCCATCACGCTGCGAGTGGCCCGTTGGCCTGCCGCTGCTGTCCCTGGTCAGACGACCGAGGGCGATGAGGTTGGCCTGGCCCTCGGGCACGTAGAGGCACTCCTGTAGCACAATCTGCATCCTGGCTCCGCTCGTCGTGCGTGCATGCAACAGCACAGAGCCAACACCGCGCACGGGCACACGTGTGCCGCCAAACGCAGTGATGTGGCGTGGATGGTGCTGTTGCAGGTGCGGTGTCAGCTCCACGAAGGCGTCCTTGACGAAGGTGAGGTGGTGTGAAGCACCCGTGTCTGCAAGCCACGTGAGTGGGTCATGCAGCTGCGTGGGTGTAGTAGCTGTGGCAGCGACGAAGGTTGCTGCGTCTTGACCATGTTGATGCTGTGCCTGTGCAGTGAAGCCTGTTGCTCCGTTGTCGCGTTGCTTCTTGCGACACTCTGCTGCACGGTGTCCATACTTGCCACAGTAGTGACAGTTGCCACGGAAGCGGCGCCCCTTGCCGTTGCTGTTGCCGTTGCTGTTGCCATTGTTGCGTCCCTGGCGTCCGTGGTTGTTGCTGTTGTTGGAGAAGCCGCGTCTTCCGCCTCTGCGTGGCGGTGCGCTT